TATACCAAAGATTTCTGACTGTGGTTTACTTGCTGCTTCAATTCTTTTCGATAAACCAAAGTCTGCTAGTTTAATAATACCTTGATGGATTAATATATTACTGGAATGCTAAATATAGAGGCATAAATTAAATATTAATTATTAAAGTAATATTAAGAATCATAAATATTTCTTATGTAAGATTACCAAATCACGATGCTCAATTCCTTCTTCATGTACTGTTTGATGGAAGTTTTGACTTAATCTGCTCTATTTATCATTTTTAACTATAATTAAATGGGAAGGAATGATTAGGGAAATGTCACTGGCTTTGAATTCAAATTTAAATTACCTGGAATTGGGAGTCATCTCACGGTTATTACGCAAGATGAACAATATGAGGTAAAACCATATCTTCGACGGATTCATTGATCACCAAGGCTTCGATATCCTTTATGAGGTTGCCGATAACTTTTGAATTAGTAAGAAATTATTATACACCATTAATTTGTTCAGGTGAAGGAGGTCTACGAATGAGATCTGTAAACTTGGAAATATATTCCATTACATTAGATTTGATGTCTATTGTTCATTATTAATTTTGGATTTAATGTTGTATATCTATATTTCTGAATTATGGTCATTAACCAAGTAAAAAACAAATGAAAAATAAATGATCAATTACTAAAATTGTGCATCCATATTTATTAAATGGATTACCTGTTGAGTTTAATTCTTTTTTTTTTTTTTTTAATTATTCCCTAATCAAATTTATTGTTGACTTTTTGGTGATAGCTAGAAGATGATTGGTTCGTCAATAATAAAAATTCCCCATCATTCTGCATAGACTTTCAGATCGTTAAATCAATTTAATTACGGGTTAATCAATTGATGTCTAATAAAATGAATGATAAAAAAAAATTCGGCAATTCAATAATAATAAAATAAAGTTTTGTATTTTTGTATAATATCACGTTTAATTTCTTGTGAGTGAAGGATATAATTGAAATAATTTTATTAAAAAAAAAAGACGGAACACTTTATGGTCAAAAAGTAATTAAGTAATTTTAAAGTAAAACTGTACGTTAAATTACAAAAAGCATAATTAAAAATAATTAATAACTTACTATCTATATCCATTTTTTTTTTAAAAAAAAAAAATAGTATTGAGTATATTTGATCATTAAAAAAAAAATATACTACCTGCAAAAAAAGATAATATTTTTAAAAATAAAAATTTTTTGAATTATCACAATGATTTTATTTGACATTGTTAAATATATAGTTTCGACGGCACCAGTCGAAACCTAAAGGGATACTCGGCAAAGTATATAAAATTGTTCAGTAAAGTTATTTTAAATATAACTTATATCATCAAAATTAGTTGAATTACAGCAATTTTATTTGAATAAAATTAATAAATAAAATAGCTTACTACCTGTATGATAATTAAATATTAAATATTGATAAATGGAAAAAGTTAAGTTAAATTCAATAAAAAAAATAAAAATAAAGAAACATTCTAATAATGTCATCGATCATTTAATATTTTAAAAAAGAAAATAAATAGCGATAGTGTTTCCTTACTTTCTAATTCTAAAATGTAAAAGCGTTATAATTGAAAACTTCAAAATACTTGTTTAAAGTACGCTTACCGGCTTCATCGACGTCAGAATTTTTGTTTTTTATTAAGATTTTGATATATGATTGGACATAGTGTGGGACAGGTTCGGACATATAGCCGGGACAGCAAAAATGTTCATCATCATTGTGTCCATTGTAGTTGTGGCTGAGGAATTATGCATACGCATTATGCATACCCCTCTATCCAGTAGTACGGCTGAATACCTAACAATGTCAACTTACCATTTCATTGTCTATGGAGACTTATTGTACGGTCCTTAAATAGATTTCAACGTCTTTCTCATAAAGTACCCTAAAAAGGCTATTCCGACGCGCGTTTGGTGCAATGCGTTCGGGTTCTATGTCAGAACGACACCTGTTAGGCTGATACTTGACTTGTTATATCGAATGGTTAGGCAAACATTTATGTATATTATTTAATACTTTTAATATAAACTTTGCATTTCGAATGTATGAAGGTGCAATATTTTAGTTATTCATTTTTTATTTATTTGTTTCGCAGATCTCGACGGAAGCTCAATTTATTTAATTCCAATGTGTTATTCACAAAATTTATGACGGAAAGGTGTTATGCGCAGAGGTAAACTTATACATAACTTATTTATGCAAATTATTGAAAATAAAAATAATTCCTTTTATGATGTCGATGATGCAAATGTTGCTCACGGATCGGCATTCTCGTATGTAGCGTAACATTTCACGTTGCTCGATTTTCAAATGTAACACATTTTTCAGACAAAAAATATCTATAAATATACAGTACACCACCACTAATTTTTAAACTTCTTTGACTTAAGTTAAACTAGGTCTTTAATATATTTGATATGTCTGAAAAAGGTGTCGAAGAATTTTTATATACCGAAGAAAATGTTAGGGATGAGATTGTTAATTTAGTTTTTTCACCGAATTTGGAATATATGGTGACTTATGATGTTGATGCATCTATAGTTTTGTGGTCCGTTAGTGTAAAAGATAATAAAATCGTGAAATATAAAACAATTAAGACGGGACCGGATAGGTCGCCACTAATATTATCAAATAATAAACTATTGATTAGTTTTAAAACTGAAACTTTTTTCAGTGAGTTAAAGATCTTAGATATGGAAACGGTCCTAGATATGGAAACTCCGAAATGTACCACAATAAATCCAAGTAACGGGATACTTTTAGAATTTCTTTCAAATGGAAATCTTATATTGTTTCAAACAACACATATATATGTTTTTACAGAAACATTTTTGAATAATACACCGTACACATATACTTCAAAATATCGATTAAGCATGTTCGATATTCGAAAAGGCTTAGAAGTTGTCGACTTAAAAATGGACGATTATCGAACGAAAATATTAAAAATGGACGATTGTCGAAAGGAAATAAAAATGGACGATACCCCAACAATTATCCAAATGAACATAATAAATGATCAAATATTCTTTGCCCTAGAAGACTCGGCTATTATAATTCAATTAGATCCAGAAAACTGGACTATTAAAAATAAATATATCATACCAACAAGCGATGAATGGATTGGGGAAGTAAATAACGATAAAAGTTTATTTGCAATATACTTGAAAAGTAAAGATGACGATCTTTTATGTGTATATTCAATGACAACTGGCAACCTAATTTCATCAAGTAAGTATTCAAATATTATTTGTTGAATTTTTTATTTTACCAATGATTCAATTGGTTTACTAATCATTTCATAGGAAGAGGTAAACTTCCGGCTCACGTTACAAATATCCGATTTATAAAAAGCAATAATATTGAAGTTTTGATGTTAAATTCATCATGCACAGATGAAGCAGAGATTAAATGTTTATTTATGGATCCCTGTGAGCTTTCATACATGTGCGAATATAGATATGATATTGTAAACTTCTTATTCTCCTATGAAACTTTCAAATTAACAGCATTACCAACCTCGTATTATAATGAAGCAATACTCGAAATATTAATAGGATTTATCAATCCCAATAAGAATGAGAAAATTATTAGTGAGCTGTATAATAACTTTATCGTTCTCGATAAGAATCATAAGGATGATGAAATGATTATAAAGTTTAAAGACGATATGAATGATGAAATGATTATAAAGTTTTTTGATAAATCCAAGCTATCTATTTATTCAAGAATCAAAGACAAAAACAGGGATTCGGAAATGATAAAATTTAATGAACATGGATGGGTAACTGTCGTAGGGATAAATTTGATATGGTATTACTCTAAGCCTAATATGTTATCAGTTTCAAAAAATGGCGTTAAACCAGTAGATCATAAGATTTTAAAGTTCGAACTTTACGATCTTGAAATTTTTAATAACGATAGCGATGACTTAATATGCTATGGCAATGATGGAATCATTATTTTTGGCCTTAATTGTAAACTCCAAAAGATTGTTATTAAATATTTTTATCGTGATAGCGATATAAAAACTTTTCTTAAGTGCAAAATACATCCTTGTCCAAGCCTAGATGTTTCAGAGAGCCTAGCTGTTTCAGAAGTCGATGATAAAAAAAATTTGATCATGGAAATTCTACATGCAAAAACGAATATCATAGAACTAAGCGATGAGATTATTGATTTTGCTATTAAGAATAGTGAAATTAAAATTCTAAGAGAATGTCTCGAAATATTATATGATTTCATTGCCGAGACTAACGTGACTCATTTGAATCATTTTGTAATATATACAATTATCACAAAATTTCTTCAAAATTTGAATTCAAAATTTCCTACTCATTACTCAAAATTCCTTTCCAAAACCTCAATTATTCTAAATCCGTACAAAGATGAATCTTATTTATCCAAAGAAAAGAAATTGTTTGGTTATACTGACCGAGCGAATTTGGTTCAAATATATAAATGTGATGTAATTCAAAATTTTCGGGATTTTCGGGATTACATTGTTATCCGGGCTTATTTTAAATTGAATTTAGTTATTCAAAATGTTTGTAATTTTATTTTCCGCACAGAAGATCAATACAAAAGGGTCATTAATTTTGTAATTCCATACCTGGGATTTACAAAGTATCCTCCTGAATATAATTTCTGGAAAGAATTACTAATACCACCAACCAACCCATTTGTTGAATTGAATGACGAAGAATTTTATGATAGCTGGAATGCTGAGGCATTGCTTAATTTCAAATGGAATACTTTTGGAAAATATTACTATCGTTTTATATGGGGAGTTTTTACCATGTTTTTGCTCTCTTTTGGAGTAGCTTCAACCATGCCCACATCTGTTATTACAGAAATTTTTTTAAGTATTAGCATTGTTCTTGGTTCATTTCATATATTTCATGAACTTAGGCAATTTATTTTTGATTGGAAGTCATATATTACAGATCTATGGAATTTTTTTGGTATGCATAAATATACTTTTACATGATTTGATAAATCATCAAAAAATTTACGTTTTTTTTTCCTCCAGATCTTGCCGCATATATTTTCCCAGTATATACCGCCATCTTTTGGTTAAGTCATGAAAAACCTCAATTATGGTTGATTTCTATATCAAATCTATTCTTACATTTCAAATTTATCACATTTTTGAGAGCACTTGATTACTTTGGCTCTAATTTTACTATTATCGTTGGTGTGGCTAAGAGGATATTTTCCTTTTTATTGATCTTACTTCTTATTTTAATTGGCTTTGCACATGCTTTTTATATTATATTGAATCCAAATGAGACATATGATTTGAATAATCCTGTAATGAACGATGATCCAAATAATCCCTGGAATCTTGTAGATAAATATCAAGCAGTTTCTCCTGACAACACAATCAGTTCTGAAATAGCTTATATTAAGCAACCTGATTCAAATGTAAATCAGTTTGCTACTTATAAAACTTCACTCTTGGCTATGTATTTGTTTTTAACTGGGGATCCTTCGGCACTTGGCTCATGGACATATTTGGAAAATCCATTCATGACATTGCTGTTAATTGTGTTTTCGTTCGTGATTGTGGTTTATCTTATGAATTTATTTATTGGTTTGCTTAACTTAGAAATTGAAGGAAATAGAACACATTTCCTGTTTATCCTTGAGAAAAAAAGTATATTGGCTGAAATTGAGCTTTTTCTACTGCTTCCAAATCAACGAAGGTGGCAACATTGGTTTCCGGATTTGATGTAAGTTATTTTTATAATTGTTTGCAATTTGAAATAAAAGGAATTTCATCAACTTTTTTTGTCATATAGATTCTACGAGATACCTATTGAAGAGGTTAGACAAAGGATTACAGAAATTGATAAATCATTATCGTATTACAAATCACATATTTCAGATAAATTAAGAAAGGTGGCTGAAATTGAGAAAGATATTGAAACAAAGTCTGATTGTAAAATTTCAGTAGATAATAGTGATGATTTATTTAAGAGATTTGATACATTAGAAGAAAGCATTAAAAGCATTAAAAAACTTTTAGAAAAAAATAATACGGCAATTGATATTAACGAATAAAAATTTATTTATTAAGCTTAATTTAAATTGTTTGTTAGTATTGGAAATAAGTGTATCATAATTTTTCATCAATAAAATTTAAATTATTGTGTTCTTATTGTTTCTGGACTTGACCTATTTCCGAAATTTGTCATTACATAGTATTAGT